CTCTCTTCCTCCCTCTCTTCCTCCCTCTCTCCCTCCCTCTCTCCCTCCCTCTCTCTTTTATCCTTCAGTTAATTGCTGATCCTTTGTTCTGCAGCCTCTAAAGTCCATGCTTATTCCAGCACAAGTTCAACAATACTTGATGGTATCAATTAAGAACATATCGAAATGGTATTAATGTGAAATTTTGTTAATGATTAATATATGTAATTGAGATTATTCTGGCCGCTTCGCAACATGTTCAACTGTTCACCCAAACAGGGCGCCATCTTGTCAGAATGGCCTTTTTAGACGATGTGTTATAAAAATAATCGTTAAAGGCATAAACTTTTGTCATACTCATTTTAATGATTAACCGCGTGTGTCATGCTTCAAAATATTTCTTACATTGAGAATTTTGCGCGCGATTCAGTTTAAACCAATTGCTTTGATTGCAAAGCGTTGGTCATGGAATGTTCAAAAATTGATAATTTATTCATCATATAATTTTTATATTTAATGAATGGCGTATTTCAAATTTAATAGTAGATGCCAGAATCTATAATAATAAATACGCAACTGTGTTAAATGCAAATATTATAATGCAGCACTTCAACGAATTTTGTTCCATTCATACATAGCTATGAAGTATAACAAGTATCTTATTCGGTAATTAAAATTGTCTTCACAACTATATTCTAAGTATTTTTTGCGTTATCATGGTTGTAGGAATGATGGTAATAATATTTTAGGAACACATCAAGAATCTCGCACAAGATGTTGATTGTTACGGGCGGGTATTAAATTGGCGCATTCTAAAAGTGCAGTGTGAGTCCTTTTTGGACATTCTTTTGTGTTTTCGAAACAATGGGAGGCAGAGAAGTCATTTTCGTCGGGTTTGATCATAGCTAGGCGGTTCAAGATGCTTTACAATGCTCTATTTTAATATTTTTATTCCAGAAATAAGGACATCATCTTCTTTAATGGAATGCTTTTATATAACCCGATTTATATAAATCTACCTAAACAGGAAAACAGTGTGCTTCTTAATTACTAATCCTCTAAGTACGTATGCACAGCTCATAAAATCTAGTAACCGTTTCTGAATACTTGCACGAGAACTGTACTCCAAATTGTCATAAGTGTTGCATCCAACGACGAAGGAGTACAACTGCAGAATCTTAGTTCGTGAAATTATTTTCTCTGAGTTATTTTAACACTTGCTATGTTTAGGACAGTAAAATAAATATTTTTTGTTCATTGCCTGTGTTTCACAAGAATTCTCTTTCTTTCAGGACGGCACCTTCTCGCTTGCCGACTTCATCGACGCCTTCCAAGAATCGGAAGTGCAAAGAGTTCTTCGAGCTTACGAAAACTGCGTCACAGTGGACATCCACTGCTCCCCGGAGGGCGACTGGACGAGCGAGCGCCTCTCCAAGGAAACTTTCAGCCGCTTATGCAAAGTGCGAGTCAACCCCGACGACTGTTTGACCGCCGGAAGCGCTCCCATCGCTAATTTTATCAATTACCTCTCCCCCTTCCTTCGACCTGCTTCGATAGAACAACTTCTAGAGCCTTCGGATGTTGTTGGTAACATCCGATTTAGTCATCCCACCCTGTATGTCTTCCCTGGGGGTCAAGGCGACGCCGCCTTGTTCGGCATCAACGGTTTCAACATGCTCGTAGACGGAGGTTTCGCCAGAAAAGCATGTTTTTGGGACTTCGCCAGGCACCTAGACCGCCTGGATGCGGTCTTAATAACTCGACTCAACAATGGCAACGTAAATGGTATTTCCGCTGTGTTGCGACGAAAAAAGCAGGGTCATGTGTATCCTCAAATTGGACACTTCTTCTGCAATGTGCAGGTAAGTACTATGAATTTCTTAACTCGAGAGATATATACAAAAAAGAAGGGATTGGCACTGATACATTCAAAATTATTTTGACACTAAAACTTCTACATTATAATTGGCACGGACTGGAAATGTATGGGCGTTTTATAACTATTGCCAAAATATTAGTCTATCTTCATTTCTGTTACAAAAAATTATTATTGCCGCAACCCCATCAGGCAATTTGAATTCATAAAGAACACATTTGTTTTCACTTTACATACGGCGGCACAATTTCTAGTCTTTAGCGCCAATCTTTTTTGTCTAATTCATTTGAATATGAATAAAAGTGTATTGAACAAGTCACTAGCAGTATATCTGGAATCATGAAAAACTTTCTTTTTAGGAGAGACGGCATTGCGCCTCACCTGATGGAGACAAAGACAGAGATCCCCTCTTGATCAATTTGGCCGATGAAGGCCACGAGATGGTTCTCAACTTGCGACAACTTCAACTTCGACCACACGCCTGTTACAGAGAAGGGAACCAAGTAGAGCCCGTGAACTTGTATCATAAGGTTGGGCACGGGAAATTGGACATGTATATCATTAGCCCAGCTCGTGACAGTCGTGAAGTGAAAGAATTCCTCGCAAAGTGGAATTCAAATGATCCTAAGTTATTTAGTAATATTGGCAAAAAGGACAGTAGTAAAGAATTTCATTTTCCTTTACAAAACTTAATTTCAATTTGTGCATTACTTGTGTGGCAGCCAGCGAATCCCAACGATACTATTACTAGAATCTTGTTCCCTGGGAGCACGCCTCAGCACAAGATTTTCGAAGGATTGGAGAAGCTGCGTCATCTCGAGTTCCTTAAGTTTCCCGTGTGTTCCGCCCGGTCTCTTTCACCGTCCTCATCCACTGTAGGTATCAGCAGTCGTGCCAGCAGCAAACAGAGAACAGCACCTGCAGTAATCGACAAACTTCTTCCTGGCGAGGGAGTTAAAACGTCGAGACCAACCAGTGAGGTGAACAAACATGCCTCCAAGGCAGCAACTATTCCCGTAGCTGGAAGCATGCCGGAACCGAAGCCAACCAAGGCATCCACTCCGGTCTCAAGTGCTCCTGCGCCCCCCGTCTCCAAAGCCCCACCGGCTAAACCAAAGGCTGAAAAGACTCCGAAATCTGAAATAAAACCAAAGACTGACGCAATTAAATCAACCGAAACTGAAAAAGCAAGTGCCAAATCTGAAAAGACAACAAAAGTCTCAGTTGATGCAACAAAAACCAAAGTCGAACATAAATCTAAAGTAGAATCAAAGACAACAAAATCCAGGACAGACTCCAAGCCTCCTCGTTCTACTGAAAGAAAGATTCAGAAGGCAGGAAGTACAGAAAAGAAAACTGACATGAAATCATCACCTACTACGCCAAAGAAATCCGTTGAAGCGAAAGTGAATGGCGTGGCTTCAAAATCAGAACCAGCTAAATCCACACGTCCTTCAAGCAAGACAAGGCCATCGCCTTCAGCGACACCGGCGAAGAGTACGAAAGAAGCTAACAACAGAAAAGTTGTAGAATCGAAATACCATGTTTCAAGAGTAAGTACAACTCGTGCATCAGCATCGAAAACAACAAAGAAAGAAACCCCTGAGGCACCGAAAACAGAACGGAAACCTATTAGCAGGAGACCCAAAACAGGATCACCTACAAAAGCACCCTCTGGTAGTCGACCTCCAGGATCTCCGGCAAAATCCTCGTCAGCGAAAAGCACGCCGACGCCGTCTGTTAAATCAGAGAAGGACGGCGTGATTCGAAAGACAAAGGCAGAAACCGAGAGGCTAACGACAGACTCATCCGCTGTCTCCACGCCGTCTACTGTGGACCCTGAAACAGCTCTTTTGAAAGCAAAGGGAGTCGAGCCAGAAGACAAACATCTCCCTCTTATGAATGGAGATTTAACGAAAGAAGAAAAAACTGTGGTTCAAGAAATTGAAGATGCCATAGCCGCGGAAGAAGCGAAGGCTGTTGAACAGGAAGTTGAAGAGGAGTCTGAAGAACAAGTACAAGAAGTTGTTCAAACTACAGAAGCTGTCGTTGAAGCTACCGAAGTGAAAGAAGGCGAGTCTGCAGTAGAAGAAGAAATTACTAAAGAAGAAGAAGATGATGAGGAAGAGGATGAAGTAGAGGAAGAAGAAAGAATCAAAGAGGAAGTAGTAGAAAGTGTACAGTCTGTTGAAGCTCAGGAAGAAACAGAAAGAGAAGCAGATGAAGAAGAAGAAGGTGAAGTTGAAGAAAAAGAATCCGAAGTTATTGAAGATGAAGTTCAACTTGAAAAACAAACACTAGAGAAAGAAGAAGTGGAAGCCACCGAGGAGGAGCAAACAGAAGATATGGAAGATATGGAAGAAGATGAAGCTCCTATTGATATCAGAGAATCTTTGCAAGCAGAGCTAGAGCTTGAAGCAAAGCGCGGGGAGGTCGCTGTAGAGCGAGATGCTGAAGAGGAGGAAGAAGAAGAGTATCTTGTTATTGAAAAGGAAGAGGTTGAGCAAGCAGAAGAGTCAATGCAAGAACCAGAAAGTTTAGAATCACACGTTCCTGAAGATGGCGGAGTACGGGAAGTCGAAACAGAAGAAGATGAAGGAGAGCTACAGAAACACTTGCGTGATGAAGCGGATTCTGAAAAACTCAAACGAATTCAAGAAGGAGAAGTGAAAGTGAATGGTTTTCATCATGAACCTGAGGAACAAGTCCATGAAGAAGAGATAGTAAAAGAATTAGATGTTACAATTGCCCAAATTAAAGATGAAGCAGAAATTAAGAAGGAGGATATTGGGAAAGCGATCGAAAAAGAATTAGCAAGTAGCGTCCAGCAAAAAGAAGCTGTTAAAGAAGAAGTGCCACCAGCAGGTATAGCAGAAACTTTAGAAAAAGGAAAGGAAGAAACCGTACTTAAAAGAGATGAAGAACCTACCGCACTAGAGGAAAGTAAACCTGAAGGCATTCCCCAAGAAGCAAAAGAACAAATTCAGGAAGAAGTACAAGAAATTATATCTTCTGCGAAAGAAATTGTCTCAAAAACAAAACTCGAGAGTGAAAAGAAACCCGAGGTTGAAGAAGTAGCTCGCATTAAAGATCAATCAAAAGATGAATCGGCGGAAGATAAGAAAGAAACCGAAGAAGTTTCTTCAACAAGCCCAGAAGAGAAACTGGATGTGTCGTCAGAAAAAAATAAAGAGATGACAGAAGATACAAGAGACACTGATCAGAAATTTGAAGAACAAGATGAAGCGGTGGAAGTGAAAGAAACGGGATCAAAAGAAATACTTGATCAAAAATATCCCGCTGAAGAGAGTCAACCTGATGAAAAATTTTCAACTACTGTAGAATCTGCTGCAACTACAGCCCCTACCCTTCCAGAAGATGAACGCATTCCCTTAGATGAAATTAAAGAAATAGTGGAAGAAAAATATGTGAAAGAAGAAACTAAAGAAAAAGAAAAGCCTGTGGAGGTTGTTCCTCGTTTTGAACAGCCGACTACTCTCCCACAAGTTGTTATACCCACTGGAATTGGATTATTTGACCAACATCCTCACCATCCTATTATCCACAGAGATATAGTTAAAACCCCTGATGAAGTAGCTGACCTGCCTGTACATGAGGAAGTAGATCCTGGAACTTATGATAGTGAGGAATATCCTAGGGAAATCTCGAAACAAAAGCCAGAAGTTGAGGATATTAAATCACCTGAAGTTGATGTAAAAGAAGAACTGCCTTTGAAATATGAGGAGGTATCAAAACCCACACATGAAGAAAAAGAAAGCAAAGAGATAGAAAAGGAAGGCAAAGAGATAGAAAAGGAAGGCAAAGAAATAGAAACAGTAATTCCTGAGCCAGTTGTTACAAGTCAGCCTGATGACAAAGACATTACAGAAAAGGTTGCACCACAAATGACAATACCCGATGATTTAATTAAAACAGATAAAAAATTTGAAACTGAAGTAGATTCTCAAAAGGTTACTGACATCACTGATGAAGTAGCAAAAGCCGATATACAAGTGGATGAAAAAGAGGAAAAAGAATTGCCTCTTAAACCAGAGCAAGAATTAAAAGAAGAATTTCTTGAAACCGAAACAAAAGCTGATGAAGCTGTTTCAACTCAAGCTCCCAAAGACTCTCAAAAACCACAGGAAATTTCTGTTACAACTGACCTTGAGAGTAAAGAAAAGGATATTAAAAAGGATGACCCTAAAACAGAAAGAAAAACAGAAGCTGTTGAAACACCACAATCTGAAATTTCAGATATAGAATCAAAAGACAAGGATACAGAAAAGGGAATGTTCAAAGAACAAGAAAAGGAGGTAAAACTTACTGAAGTAAAAGATATTACAAGTCAATTTATTTCCCACGAGAGAGTTTCTGCATCAGGAGAAATTGATGAACTTCACCAAGAAGATATCCCAAAACCTTTAGAAATTGAAAAAGATGAACAAAAAGAAAGTGAAACAGTTGAGGATGAAAAGAAAGATGTTTCTACAGTGAGTATGCCTGATGACATACCACAAAAGGAAGAGAAAATTTCCACAGAAATAGCTTCTGAAGAGCCTGATAAAGATATCAAAAAGCCTGATGAAAAAGAAATACTTGACACAGATTCAAAATTAACAAAAGACATCAGTTCTGACTTAGAGGCAAAAGAAGTAAAACTTGAAGAATCTGAGCTTCCAGAAGTGGTAAAATCAACTGAAACTGTCAAAGAACCAGGAATATTAGGTGATTCCAGTGCACTCTCTGCCACATATTTGGAAATAATAGAAAAATTGCAACAAGATGCTCCAGACAGTGACACTGACACATCAGCTGCTTTAAAAGATCAAGAACCTACTACTGAAAGTGAAAAAGATGCCAAAACTCAAGAACAAGTGAAAGATACAGATGCAAAAATTGCTGCAATACTACCAGAAATTGAAGATATAAAAGATGATTCAAAAGAAGCAAAAACAACAGAAGTTAAAAAAGATGAAGCAGAAAAATTTGAAGCAAAAGAAATTAAGGATGCCAAAATTGAAACTGATATAATAGTTTCTACATCTGATGTTGCTGATGAGATACTGAAAGACACAATAGACATTAAACGTGAGGTCATAGATCTCCAAGAGCACACAGAAAAAGTAAAAGATGTTGCCCCATCTTATGAAAAAGAAATCCTGAAAGAAGGGGAAGACACCGATGATTTGAAGAAGAGCACTCCTTATTTAGAAGATGATATAAAGAGTTTGACCCAAGAAAAAGAGGCTTCTGTTGACACCAAGGAATCTTCCACTCCTTTAGATGTAACACAAGCAGATGATGAAAAGAAATTAAAAGACACAACTGAAATTACAAAATCTGTAGATGAAGTTGCTCTAGAAACAGCTGAGACAATGAGTACAGCTGTAAAAGAAAGTGAAAAAGAAGAAGTAATAGAGAAACAAATAAAAGAAATTGAACCTAAAATTGAAACTACTACACAAGATATAATTTCAGAAAAAGAAATCAAGTCACAAGAAAAGGGAGATAAAATATCTATTGAATCTGAGGAAAGACCCAAAGAAGAAATTTCAAAACAAGTAACAAGTACCAAAGAAGATAAAGTATTAGAAGTATTAGAAGAGCCTGTAGTAGAGGCAGAGGCAAAAATCATTGCAGAGAAAGATATCACTACAGATAAAAAGGAAGAGTCTCCAGAACATATAGTTCAAGAGATTTCAACAGATAAAATTCTCACAGAAGATGAACATAAAACTGAACAGAAAGAAATTATTGAAACCACGGCTATTATATCTGAGGCTGAAAAAGATACCATTGAAATGAAAGATGAAGTAATAGAGGCAGAAAAAATTATGGATTTTAGGAAAGAAACAATACAATTAACAGAAGTAACAGAAAAGGAAAAATCAAAGGATCAAATAGAAGAAACAGATCTGGTTGAAGTCACTGATGCTCAGGAGTTAACAAAATCTCAAGAACCATCTTTTAAGGTAGAAACAGAAGACCTTGTCAAGATTGAAGAAAAACAATCAGCTAAAGATGAGGAAAAAGAGGATATTCAGATTTCTGAAAAATCATCTACGCTCGCAGAAAAAGAAGACAAAAAGGAAGACAAGGAAATCATTCTTCCCTCCTCCACTTTAGATTCAATTGAAGATCAAGCATCTTTAGAAACCATCCGCAAAACACCTGAAACTGAGACAATACCTCAGAGAGTTTCCACCGAAGTTTTGCAACCAGATGACACAGATGTTAAACTAGTGAAAGATAGTACTTTCATAGAGCCAGTTGCTTTACCCTCTCATAAAGACCAAGATATTTCAAAGGTAGATAAAGCACTAAAAGATGAACTAACACTGGAGCAAGATGATTCAGAAATATCAAAAATTGAAAAATCTGTATCTGAGATGCAACTAATTGAGGATTCTTTTAAAATGGAGATTTCAGAAAAGAAACAAGAATTTTCTGAACCGATTAAGTTTGATATTCCAGAAACAGAGGCAGCCAAAGAAGCTGATGTCAGTCTAATGTCTCAAGCACACACTGATGAAAAATTACAGAAAGAGGAAGTGACAGTAAAGGATATTGATATGCATGAAAAAGAAGTGAAAGGTGACATAAGCGAAACAGATATGGCAGAAAAAGATACTGAAAAAACTGAAATAATTGAAAGCAAAGCAGATCAAAAAATCTTCATACCTCAGGAGACAGACAAAGTAATGCTTCCAGAAACCACAATCATAGAAAAGGACATTCAAGAAGAAGATAAGACTGAAAGTGCAGCAAAACCAAAGGAAGACCTTTCTTCAATTAGTGAAATAAAAGAAAAGATTACTGAAGTGTCACCTAAACAAGATATTTGTGAGAGTAAAGAAAGTGAAACTCCTGCAGTGCTAGAGCAGAAAATTGAAGAAGATACTAGCAAAGTTGTTGCTGTTGAGGACAAACATAGTGATTCTATTCCTCTTGAAACAGAACCAGAATCAGTTATGAGCAAAATCCCAAAGCAGGAGGTGACTGAAATCCATGACACAGAAATCCAAAAACAAGAGGAATGTATACTAAAGGAATCTAAAGATGTTGAGGAACTAATAAGCAAAGATGGTGATATTTCAAGAAAAATAGATGATATAAAAGGTGAACCTCAGCAGTCTATCATACACAAAGATGAAATTAAACCTGACTTAGAAGAACAAGTTGATCACAAAGATGTAGACAAAAGCGAGCAAAAGTCAGCCATAAGTGAGGCAGTCAAAATAGATAGTGTAGAACAAGAAAGCATGCCAAGAAAAGAATCATTAAAAACAGAAGAAAAAGTTGAGAGAGATACTGAGATTACAGAAAAAGGTAAGCCAATCAAAGAATCTGATACACAACAAAAACCATCTGATTCAGAAGTTGATGCAGCCAGTTTAGTGTCAATATGTGATGAGAAAGCTATTCTTGAAACTCAAGATGCAAAGAAACAACAACCAGGTCTTGATGCAAGTGAAAAAGATGTGGGTCAAAAATCATTTTATGATCAATTGGAAGACGGTACTGGAGATGGGGAACCTCCACCTTCTCCAGGAGATGAATTCATTGATTCAGGTCTTGAAGAGGAGCCAGTATTCACTAAACTAGAAGCACCAGAACATCCAGAATATGTAACAGTCACACCAGATTCTACTCCAGCTTCTCCTAAAGCGCTGCCATCATTTGTAAAGGCTCGAGAGGAAGAACAACACCAAATTCAAGAGACTCCAGAAACTGACTCTAAGATTGAGTCTAGTAAGAAAGATGTCTTAGATGATATTCCTAAAGAGCAAATAGAGCTAAAAGATGACACAAAAAAAGATGAGAAATTAGAAGAATCTTCACAAAAATCACAAATTATTACTGAACCGTCAGGTACAGATGATCATCATATTGAAAAACCAGTTACTGAAACATCATCCAAGTTTGAAGACATTGTTTCTTCAACAACTGAATCTTCTGCAACTAAAATTGTATCTCCTCCAAAATCTCCTCTGGGAGTATCATTCAAAGAAGAACCTTTTGAAGAATCAAAAGCTACAAGTGAGCAAGATGAAATAAAAACAACAAAGACTTATGATGAAACAGCAATTGCAGAAGCTAAAGTGCTTGATGATTCTGTTCAAGCTGAAGAAACTGTCACTTTCACAACTTCTGTATCCAAAACAGTTGATGACTTTCTGGCAATGGAAAGAAAAGTAGAAGATACACTTCGTTCCACTGTCGAAAAATCAAGCTCTGACATTTCTACATCAATCATCAAAGTCACAACTCAAGAAACTGACCTTTCCCTTTCTGAATCAGTAAAAGAGCAGAAAGACACTAAAGTGGATGCTGACGAGAGTGCCTCTGTTGGCGAAACAATTGTTTCTAGTATCTCTGACACAAAAATTTCAGAAAAAGCCGAGATTGAATCTTCTGAGAAAGAAATAATAAAATCAAGTAAGGAAGAGTCTTCAGAGGTCTACACAGTTTCAGAAACAAAAATGATTGCTGATGATTCTTCAAAATTAAGTTCAGAGATAACTTCATCTGAAATAGTAAGTGTCACAAAAAGTGAAACAAAACCAAGTGAATATGCCCCTGTAGAAGAAACAACAACAGAAGTCAGCACTGTTACTACAGAAACAAAGGAAGTTAAAGAGGTGGAAACATTAAAGGAAGATTCTACTCTCTCCACAACAGTCAAGAAAATGTTGGTCACAGCTAGTAGTGAAGATGGAGGTGCTGAAACTGTTCTATGTGCTACTGGCACAATCAAATCTATTGATTCAAAGAAACCAGAAACTGAGGACATACCTATCACATCTGAGAAAACTGCAGTTGAGAAGGAAACATTTTCTCAAGTTGAAACATTGTTGTCTAAAGAAGCAGAGGAAATGACAAAACATAGCGTTGAGACAGCACAATATGATTCTCATTCTGATGATTCATCTGAAAAATCTCAAATGAAAATAGAGAAACCAACCCACCCAATTGTCACTGATGTAAAGCAAACAAACGGACACTTACATGAAAGTGATGTGGATATTCAAAGTACAGATGAAGAAGAAATCATTGATGGTAAAAGAATTTTCAAGACAAAAACAATAAAAACCACTACCACAACTAAAGTAGTGAGAAAATCAGTTTCGGAAAGTACTGATTCTGAAGATGAGCACAAAGATTCTGTGACTGAAACAACAGAAGTTGGTGATGATGGAAAAATAATAACACGTAAAATTACCCGAACATATCATACAATTGTGAAACAGGGTGAAGAAAGTGATGTAGTGAAATCACCTTCTAAATCAATTGAAGTAAAAGATTCTGAATCATCAAAATTGACTCAAGAACATGCTGAAAAAGAAGGAAGCACAACATACAGTGAACAGCTAGTAGGTCCTGAAACATCCCTTGCGAGTAGCTCTGCCACAACTACTACCACAACTGTCACAAAAGTTGTAACAGGTGATAGTGATGAACTAGTAAGTTCTACTACAAAGAAGGTGATAGAAACTGACACACTTAAGAGCACAACAATTACAACAACAGACGAGCATGGTGATGTAGAAGTGAAGTCCTTCAAAGAGGTCACAGACACAAAATTAAGTAGTGCCGATGATACAGATTTTTCAAAAATTACTACTGAAACTTTGTTAAAAGAAGCCAGGAGCTTAGCAACAACAGAATCTGAGACTGTGCCAACAACTCAGACCAAGGACTCTGTAGAAACACTAACCAAACATGAAATTACAGAAACAACTACTTCAAGAGCCACTTTTGATTCCACTAAAGATACTGTATCTAGTGTTTCTAAAGACTCATCTGAAATAGAGAAGGATACAAAAATTCGAGATGAACCTGCATGTGCTGTAAGTGGACCTTTGGCTGTAATAAAAAAAGAGTCCTCTGATACAACTCGCAGTGCAACTCCTGGATCAGATGCCATGAGTGATCGTGACTTTGATGTAGGTGGACCATCAACCCCTCACAGTGATATAAGCAGTGGGCAAGCCTCTCGAGTAGCTACACACATTTGGGGCAGTGAGGGACGACCAGGTTCTCAACATTATGATAGTGATGAGGAAGAAGAAGGCCCTGTTTCTCCTTTGAGTGTAACCTCTCAAGTAGCTCCTTCTCCTCCCCCACCACACTTTGACTTTGAGATGCCAGAACATCAAAAATCACATGAAATAGAAGAAAAGCATTCGACTGTTCATGTCACAAAAGAGGAGCACACAAAGCAAAGCAGTGAAATCTACAAAGGACCACAACAAGCTCTATCTTCTTCAATGACCAGTTCCTTTTATGGAAGTCTCCCAGCTGAACCTCCCTTGTCTCCAGAAGGCATCACAATGAAAGGAGTTGATCCCATGTCAGCTTCTTTCATTATGCAGTCTGAAGATCCAGAACATAAAAGTATATTTTCAACAAGTAGTACATATACTTATGGAGAATATGATGTTGGGGATTCAGCAACATTTGAGCACTTTTCATCCACCTCTCAAGGAGTTCCAGATGACACTGTTGACTTTCAACAGGCTTTATATGAACACAGAGCTGCACGTGGAGAGGATCTTACCACAGCCAGCACATCCACTACATATCATTATGAAACTAAAGTGAAAGATACACATGCATCACCAGAAAAAACAGTTACTTATGAACATACTAGCTCATCAGGAGTCAATGGACAAAGAAAAGATCATAGTTTCAAAGAATTCACAGAGGACTATGGAAATGGAAACCTTGCAGGTGCTAAACAGTTTGAAGATTTAATGAATAGAAATAGGGAACCAGGCCATTTAGAAAGCAAACTTAATGGAAAAAGTGCTGATGAATACAGTGATTTTTCTGGTCCTACTAGTACAGAAAGCTATAGTCAAGATGTATATTCAAAGGTGTCTACAGTTGATCCTTCTCTTCTTCGAAATGGTTCAGATGAAAAGAAAACTATCACAACTACAACTGTGACAACAGTAACCAAAACTTCCACTGCAGAACCTGAAGTTCACATTACAACTCAGCCATTAACTGCACCATCCACAGCAGCACAAGCATTTCCAGAACCTCCACAGGGATTTGGATTACCATCTGTAAGTAAAACAGAAACAAAAAAAGATCCCATAGAAGGATGGGGTAAACCTTTAGGATTACCTGCTCCAGCTCCTCCCCCTACTAATAATACAAACGCACAAGGAGAAGTTATGGCGATGACAAATACAAATAAGGGCACACCTAAAAAGGAAAAGAAGGTAATGCAGATGAAAAAGAGCATGATAATCAGTGAGAATAACAAAACAACAGGTCAAATGGGCAAAGATAAGACAAAGAGTCCTGAATCACCAGTGAAACAAAAAGCAGGTTCCAACAAAGTAGGAATTGGAAATGCAAAGAGTTCTCTTGCACCAATCTATGTGGATTTATCGTATGTACCACATCATGGTAACTCTTATTATACTGCTCTTGATTTTTTCAAGAAAGTACGAGCCAGATATTATGTGTTCAGTGGGACTGAACCTAGTCGTGAAGTGTACAATGCTTTGCTAGAAGCAAAGCAAACATGGGAAGATAAAGAATTAGGTAAGTGTTTTATATTATAATATATTTCATTTATTTATATATCACTAATAATAAAATATTTTTGTTTAATAGACTTTATAATAATACTTAAGTTAACTGTTTAATATTTCATGAATTTCTTTTTTTCAGAGGTAACTATCATTCCCACTTATGACACAGATACACTAGGTTATTGGGTTGCTGAAAACGAGGATGCTCTTGCAAAATGCAAGATTGATTTGTCACCTTCTGCAAGTAGATGTACCATCAATCTTCAAGATCATGAAACAAGTTGTTCTGCTTACCGACTAGAATTTTAAACCAACAGTGAAAAGTACTACTTGCAACGTCCTTTGTTATCAAAATGTTTACAAAAACAATTGTCCATTATGTACCTTAACATATTTATCTATAATTTATGTCAAAATGCCCTCCAGGAAGCAAGATTTCTGTACAACATTTCGCCAAAATTTGCTCTAGACATTTTTACAGCTATTGGAAAAATTGGAGTCATACTTAAAAAATGAAAAAAAGGCAAATTTTAAAAAAATTTTGTACTTGTCACAGAAAAATGCCCTCCAATTTCTTACCTATTTTACCATTTGAAAACTATGTTTTTAGAAGGTTAAGAACTGTAGAAGATTAATTTTTGATTGAAAAGCAGTCACAAATCAAACAAGAAATAATTTACTAATGTAACATTTGTAAAATAAATGTTGCATTTGCTAGCTATTACAAGATAAGACTTCCATATCTTGAACAGCATTTGTTTATCAAGTGGACTTTCAATACATCCACAGTACAACAATGGCAGTTGTTTTATACATGTCTAAAAGAACTATTCATCTGTGCATTTAGCATTCTGATTACTCCACTTACTTTAAGGAATCAAATAGGAGTCATTGTATAAAATTACATCATTGCCACAGAATCTCCTTCCAAAGCTTCAGGAGTTAAATAATTATTGCATAGATGTGACGTTAATGAATGAGAGGGAAAAATATTACAGTTCAACAAACTACTGACTCAAGAAAGTGTAAGTCACCTCGAGAAATCGTATATTTAGAGGTGTTCAAATTTTAAATATACTTTTAAGAAGACTCTTATAAAAGTATATTATATTATTACATGATGTAATAATACATTAAAAAAATAGTAGTTGTGAATCCTTAACTTTATGGAAAATGTGAGTGACAGCATTCACGTAATGCACAAATTTACAATTAGTTAAAGAAATGAATATGCCTAAGTGAGATAAATCCATCATATGTTTGACATGAAATTGACATCTGTCCTTGTGTGGATACGAAATACAGTAAGACCTCTGTGAGTGTTATTCTTGTCTCCTTCCTTGCATTCACTGTAATAACGATATTTTCCGTACAACTATCTTTGTCAACATAAATGAGTACTAATTTTTTAATTGTACTACATTGATGTTCACATGTTAGTAGTACTGTATATGAAAGTGCATTCTTCCCTTTGACTGACTCTAAATGTTTGAATGACATTTTAGGAGAGAGATGACTTAAGAGAATAAATTTCCATATTACATGAAAAGAAGAATCACATGTTATACGGAACACAACCTTCAAATCATGTACATCAATACTTTATTATATAAGAAGAGATATATTTATTTGTGGTGTAGTCTACCAACTAAAATACTGTATTTTAAAAGAAAAGTGTTCACAATGGCCATATGCATGACATAAAATATTTTAGAAAGTTAATGTACGTTAATATAATGTACTACATTATAATTTGATGTTCCAAATGTGCATTTGTGTTGATAAGATTTAGCAGATCCATTGTGGCCAGTTTTCATCTTATACATTCTATTCATGCAGTTAAGTATTATATTAATTACTTGTTCCTAAAAATGGATCCCCACATCCTTCAATTTTATGTCTAAAAGTAATTAATTATAAAAGAAGGAGAAAGTCATAAAAATATAACACCTAGTTTTGATTCAATTATAAAAATATTTAAATCCCTTAAGACTTTAAGAAATATTCTGATTCCTACTTACTTACTGTACCAGTACACAAAATCTGTTAGAAAAATTCTATATTGCTTTGTTAAATGTTTAAGTATACTGTGTACAAATATTTCCATTTAACTGAAGGGAAAGAGTAATCCATATCTTGAAGAAGTAAAAAAATTTTGGTTGAGTGTAATGTAATAACAATGAAACACATTAGAAATTAAAACATGCAACTATTAACATAATTACCATAATTAAATACTTGTGGGGTGATTGTGTATGTATTTGCTGTGTCTACTCTCACCCATAAACCCCCAGTGTCATGTACTTAAAACTATTTGTTTCTGAAGCTCCCAAACAACAACAAGGAATGAGTGGAAAATGAACTTTGCATTTCCTTTTAACTATTAGTTTGCAATGAATAATGCATTGACTTATTTAAAATTTCATAGGGACTAGATTTTATGAGCATTTCCTCTGAATAAAAAACGTTCCATTTGTGATGCATCTTTCAATACCTATATTTTTTAATAATTTTACAAGAAAACCTGTAGATAGAACTTAAATATTAACTATCAATAATTTGTTGATATTAAAACGACTCCTTTCTTCATTAAAATTATGTTTCAACAGGGGGGTAACTTTCCATTGGAACAAGTATTGGTTTATGAAATGGTAAGAAGCTGTTTTAATAAAAACAAACTTGTTACGTGTTGCATCAGAATAGAATTTTTTATAATGATTGTGAATTGAGCAGTTGTGAATTTAGGTTTTGAAATGTAATCAATATTTTAAGAAGACATGTATGTAATTACTAATAATGTTAATTAGAAGTGCTCAATGGGATTGAATGAAAATCTGAATAAAATCTTGGACTGGGATTGTCCAGATGAAGGCATTGATATTGACTACTTCTCACATATCATCATATCACTTTATCAACATGATGACTTCTCATACATATTTAATAATTAAAGAACTCTTTTGAGAGCGCAATATCTTGATAAATGAGAAGGAGTCTTTATCAACAGTTTCCATACTGTAATAAAGTCTTATTGTTGTTCACGAAAAACATACATACGAAACACAAAATTTGAAGATTTCTGAAACAAATTGTGAAATTTGAATTGGTTAACTGAGTTTAATCTGATTATGTGCATTGTTGTGTGTTGAACATGCTACTGATTTTAAAAATATTTTATGACCAAATTATATCTGAAGGTCACAATAATAGTCCTAACTGTTTTGTACTTAGAGTGAAACGAGATATGAATGATGTGTGGTAATTTATGAACTGTAATGTGAAGTGTAAGTTTTCATAATCTTTTTACTATTATTTTTGTATTTTATATTTATTTAATGTATTATCTCCATTAAGCTAATTGCTATTAAGTTGAGAATCACTTTTTTAAACCTGATCTTACAATCTAGTGTAATGATCCAATTTCAAGGCCTAATTTCTTCTACAACACTGGAAACAATTCCTGTGTTGATATAAATCAGAACAGACTGTAGGAAAACCCTTAATTAATTGCATAGTAAGAAAGTGGATATAATGGAGCTGAAACACAACAATGCCTATATGTTAGTCAAGTCTTCCTTGCAAAGAGAAAATAATTACTGGCCATTCTTACATAAAACATTGTTTTGTGTCGCAACTTAATTGTTCCACTTTCTCACACATTGTGCATGAAGTGATTCCTTCTGTACCTATCATAATGCGATATTTATTAGAAGATACCTTAACATTTATTTAACAATATAACCGATAGTAATAGAGTTTTCTTATTATATTAGACTTTATTTATTGAATGATATTGTATGGTTGGACTGCTTGCATGTCAGCAAAGACAATTTTTGAGTCTTTGGCACGCAAAAACTTAACCCAAGTGTATATTAAAACTATTTATTAGGAGACAACCTGTTATCATAAAATATAATTATCGTGTGGAATATCCTTCAACTGGATCAGGAAGAACGAGCTTCTTATGAAATAATAATGTTGATATTCTAAGCTGAGAAAGCTGAGATAGGATTGAAATGGTGCTAAGATTACCTAATAAATGCCTTGTTAAAAATAAAAGTTGATCTTTGTAGATCCTTCATGAAAATATAAGGCTATTGTTCCCTGTTTGATCCATGTTGCTTCCAGTGGACTGAGCTTTCCTTTCAGTTGAGGCTTTTGATGTCTTTTACAAATCCACAGTTGGCTTTTATGTATCCCAATTGTTTAATTTGCTCACCCAATAACTAGTCTATATCTCATAAGTGATTGAGCCTCTGTAAATTGACTGATGTAAGATCAGAAATCTACAGATGAATGGATACTGTAGCAGCAAATTCCTTTATTTATTTGTCCTATCATTCCAAAGCTGCAACTTCGTAGAGGAATGAAGCAATATTGGTGGCAAAGGAGAAAATTGGGAATCATAGTCTTACATTCTCATGAAAATATTTAGATTCTCTGTGAGAATCTATCATGTAAAATCTTCTCTGGTCTTGATGTTGAGAACAGATGTGGCGTAGGTGTTAGGAGTGTTATCGGAGGGGAGATTTCACATAATCAGCTGGCCTTGTAGGATTTGATTGAAATTGTTTTGTAATTAATTTATATTTATTCTTTTCATTACTCTCCAGGTAAAAGTGAAATAAAGAGTATCCTTATCATTGCACCTCGCTTTGTAATTTTCTTGTCTTAATTTTGTTTGCCTCTTCTTTTAAACTTTCAATATCAAAGACATTTTGGAAAAAAAATATGTAAAAAACCATAGCACATTAAAAATATCACATTTGCTTAGTGTTGGAGCTTCTAGTCAGAAAGTTTGCTCTATGCTTGTTCTGAAAACACTATTGTGTAATGTATGGGTTATGTATGAGATACCAAGTAAACAAGGAATAAAGAAAACCAAAAAAAGGGAAAATTATGTAAATTTTGGTCATTGTGTTATTATTTTTACCCTTAAAAACTTAATACCTTTTAGTGTGATGATAAAAGCATGCACATACAACATCCATATTCAATTTAACAGTTGAGAACTGGTGAATATATTACAAAAAGATAGTAGAGAGGTGTTTCCTTCAATCATCAGTTAATTTATTTAAAACTCAAAATACACACAGAAAACATCCTTTAGAAAATTCACCACAATGATAAATAAAAAAATTCCTTCCATCATGTCTATTTAGCATATTTAATTGTAACATTCTTCCCTGGTATATTTGGTACTGTTGTTTTTTTAATGGAATCCTCACATTGTCATTAATGCTATTCAACACTGCTCCAAACAATTCCTTGAAACAGAATTTGAGATTTAATTGCAGTTACATCATGCAAGTCTAGGTTGCCTTAAAAATTCATGTTATGCTAAAAAGCAGTTTTTAGTTTTACTTTTTTAAATAAAATATTAAAATCCTAATAACAATAATTTACACCGATTTTCAGGCAATATATTATATTTATATGCATTTTACAATAAAAAATTATTAAATTTTCCAAGAAAATCATACAATGACAACATTCACAATATCAATAAGTTTTTTTTTTTTTCTTCTTCTTTTTTTAACTACAACACATATGCAAGGTCTTCTCTTTAGACCATTTAAACTCACACAATCTCAATTAATTAAACAAAAATTTCAATAGACATCATTTGCACTGGACAGTGATGACATTGTAAAATGTCTAAACATAACATGACATGATTGTATTTCACTTTTTTTTTTTTTTTTTTAATGTAACTTGGCATTTCTTATTAATGCCGTGACAATGTCATAGATAACATTGGAAAGGAATAATCAATTCTGACAAAAATGAAATTTCCTATCTTATGTTTAGATTCTTGCCAATTTACTATGAACATTCAGAACTTAACAATTAATATATCATCTCGAGTGTATGCTCTTTGATATATCCTAGAGTACTTCAGGCATTTAAAAGCCTGTGCAGAAATAAGAGATTTGTGTTTATTACTATTTTAGCTTAGTGTAAGTGTGTGAAGTGTAGTTTTTAGTGTATAAGCATTTAAGTTACTTTATTGAAGACTTCAAGTCCCTTTATAGTAATTAGTTGTACAAGGTGTGGTAAGTAACCAGTGCATGCCTAATCTTTAGTGAAGTGCACAACATTGTGTAGTGTATATTTGTACGGTACACGAAAATACATTGTAACTTTATCAACTACCCTCTCTAAAACACTAAACTACACTCTTAGAAATACTTATTTAAAAAAGAAAACTCGTACATCTAGAGACTAATATAAAAACTTGTATTACACACAAATCAACATGAACATGGAACAGGCACACTTCGCACTTTCTCAACTCAACGCCGACCTGAAGAAAGCCTACGCACATATTAATTACATTAAAAATGAGATCAGTAGACTTGAGCAGGTCATTCAATACTCCGATGGGTGGACTCATGTAATTAGTAAAAATAGAAAGCCACACATTTCCAGCCACCCACGAACCCTTCAGGCACCACACTGCGCCCCCACATTCAACAGGTTCTCGATCCTTTCTGACCCTGTCTCCTTTCCACCTCTTACCACCAAAACTACCTTACCACGACAACCAGTAAACAATAGGCGCACATTTACTAAAAGTCTGCCCTCAAAATCTCGACAGAATCACAGTTCAGCGGGCAAGACTAAAACAACAAATGGCACTCTCTCTCACTCAAGTAAAATTTTGATTCTAGCTGACAGCCATGGTAGGAACCTTTCCTCCATTGTGAGAGAGAAACTCCCGTCAAAGTTCTCAATTACAGGTATTTTTAAACCTAATGCCACGATGGCTCATGTAATTGAGAACTTAAACGCTCAGACTAGATCTTTTACACAACAGGACACAGTAATAATTATAGGTGGGCAGAATGACATTAATTCTGGCAGCCACTTTCACGAAATGGAACATTTAACAAAATTACAAGAGACTGCCAAACACACAAATGTAATAATGACCACTCTGCCCCCCTGGCACAACAACATTCCTATAAACAATGAAATTAAAATAGCAAAACATCATATAAGACAGCACTTGAGAGGGACACCTATAACACTTGTTGATCTTGACAACCTCCCAAGAAAACTTTTTACTAGGCATGGTCTCCACATGAACCAGATAGGAAAACAAAAACTAGGAGCCATGCTCATCTCGCACCTATTGGTAACCCCTGCCCCTGCTACCTCACATCAATCTCCCACCCATTCTTCTGCCTCTCCAACCACAACCCTCTTACATACTCCGCATCTTTCACCACCATCCAGCCCTCTCTTACCCCCACCAGTTCCTTCTCCTACTCCAACACCTCTCCTGCCCACTCCACATCCCTCACCTGCACCCAGTCCTCTTTTACCTACGCCAGTTCCTAC